GTTTTGTGCAGGCATCTCAGATCCTGGAGCCTGTTTCAGATTCTGTGTCTTCTTTCTCTGCCCCTCTCCCACTCATGCTGTCTCTGTTTTAAAAATAAATAAAAACTATAAAAAAATTTTCTAAAAAAATGAAGACAACATCTAAACAAAATTTTACATGTAGACAGATGAGAGAAGGGTAAGAGGCATACAGCTTGGAACTTTATATGTGCATTTAAAATTTTTCTAGAGTAGCTCCTGAAAGAGTAAAAGTTGAACTAGAAGGCAAGTGGAATAGGATAGGGGAATTTCAAATAATACGGGGGAAAAAAGGAGAAAGAAACAAAAGGGAGGGACAAACATGTAGAAATATGGCCAAATAGATCACTAATCATAATGAATGTAAATGGATCCAGTGCTCTAGATAAAAGACAAAGCATAAGCCAAAACAAATGTGTGTTTTTAAAATATATACATATATATTTTTTAATTTATTTTGAGAGAGGAAGAGAGAGCAGGGGAGGAGCAGAGAGAGAGGGAGAGAGAATCCCAAGCAGTCTCTGCACCATCAGCGTGGAGCCTGACTCAGGGTTCAAACTCCCCAACTATGAGATCATGACCTGAGGAGAAATCAAGAGTCAGACGCTTATCTGACTGATCCACCCAGGTGCCCCAACAACATATGGCTTTTAAGAGATTAAAATATAACAACATAGGAAAGTTGAAGATAAAAATAATGCAAATGTTATACCTGGCAAAATAGTAACCCAAAGAAATTGGTAGTTATAGTAATGTAATAAAATTACTTAAGGGAAAGGAGCACTATTAAACAGAAGCCATGTTTCAGATAAGAACTGGTTTTTGCTGCTAGGTAGACACAGAAATTAACCGTGGCTTAAAGCAGGCAGATGTATATTCCCCCCCCGCCCCCCCCCCACCTTCTTCCCACCCTTAAAAGAGTCTGGAGATTGACATTTTAGGTCTGATTATGGAGGTTTCATTTTTATCATCAAAGTCTCTGAGTGTACTTCTCTGAGTGTTTTCTGTACTGCCATCTTTTAGCCTGTGGCTAACCTTATAGTAAGATGGCTGCTTTGGGCACCGACTCTCACAGACTCCATGTAGGAGGAAGGATGAGAGATGGGTGTGGAGCCTATGCAAGCCATTAGGCCATCTATTAATGTGGTTCATTGAAGTTCCACTTAGTCTTCAACTGCAAGACTGTTATGAAATGTATTTTAGGCAAGCATATTGCTGCCTAGAGTAAAATTGGATTTTACTATCTGAGGAAAGTGGAGAGATTGAATATTGGTACAGGTCACCAGCAGTCTCTGCCACTTTCTATAATAAAGGCTTTGTTTACCAGAAGATACCAGGATTGCAACTTTATTTCTACCATATAACACAGGTTCAACGTACATAAACTAAAAATAACAATTACAAGGATAAGAACACAGATTTACCATCAAAATAGATTTAAAAAAATTTTTTTAATGTTTATTTTTGAGGGAGAGAGGCAGAAGGAGACAGAGACACAGAATCCAAAGCAGGCTCCAGGCTTTGAGCTGTCAGCACAGAGCCTGACATGGGACTCAAACTCATAAGCCATGAGATCATGACCTAAGCTAAAGTTGGATGCTTAACTGATGGAGCCACCCAGGCGTCCCCCATCATAATAGATTTTAATAAAACCAAAAAAAATTTACTAAGGAGATAGAAGACTTGAACACAATAAACAAGTTTGAACTACTGAGTGAATATAGAATATTGTATTAAAAACTTTTTGAAATCTTTTTTTTTTTTTTTTTNTGAAGGATACAGGTGATTTTAAGGCTTATGACACTTACGGTCAAATGGCTTTCCAAGATAATTATATCATTTTTCAATTACTTAGGGAACCCTGAGTATCTGCAGTCTAGCAAATCTTGGCAAATAGTTTTATTTTTTTATTTTTTTAAAATATTTTTTTATTTATTTCTAGGAGAGAGAAAGACAGCCTGAACAGGGGAGGGTCAGAGAGAGAGGGAGACACAGAATCTGAAAGAGGCTCCAGGCTCTGAGCTGGCAGTCAGCACAGAGCCCAACGCGGGGCTCGAACCCACGAACCGTGAGATCATGACCTAAGCAAAAGTCGGACACTTAACCGACTAAGCCACCCAGGCGCCCCTAAAAACTTTTTGAAATCTTTATTCTGAGAGAGAGAGTGTTCAACCAGGGAAGGAGCAGAGAAGGAGAGAGAATCCCAAGTAGGCTCAGCCCTGTGAGCATAGAGCCCAACGTGGAGCTTGACGTCAAGCTTGATCTCACTAACCATGAGATCATGACCAAAGCCAAAGTCAAGAGCAGGACACTCAACTAACTGAGCCACCCAGGTGCCCCACACTGATTTCAAATTTTAAATCATCAGTACCTTAGAATTGCTATTGTGTGGAATCCAAAATTTCAGATAGTGTGACAGATAATAACTTTAAGAAGTGCCCCTGAAAATCTCAACAAATTTCAAAGAATATATGTCATTCAGATCACTTTCTCTGATAACAGTGCAAACTAAATTAGGACCCCGTTTTTTAAAAAGTAATCTTAACTTCTAAATAGCTGGGGTTACAGAAGAATTTATGGTGGAGGTTTAAGAATACTTAAAACTCACGGCGCCTGGGTGACTCAGTTGGTTGAGCGTCCAACTTCAACTCAGGTCATGAACTCATGGTTCATGAGTTTAAGCCCCACATCAGGCTCTGTGCTGATAGCTCAGAGCCTGGAGCCTGCTTCGTATTCTGTGCCTCCCTCTCTCTCTCTCTCTGCCCTTTCCCCACTCATACTTGTCTCACTGTCTCTCAAAAATAAATAAACATAAAAAATCCTTAAAACTCAATAATAATGAAAATGCAACATTCAAATTTGTGGATAACTCGTAGTGGTTCCTGGGCATAGCACAAAGCTAACTTTCATAAATATCCCATGAGAGCTTGAAAAGAGTATTTTCTAGTTGTTTCCAGCCGTGTTAATTAAGAGAGTCCCAGGCGTCTCAGGACTTAATGTTAACATACACTGCCTTGTGCAGTTTGTCCTCTGACAGTTGTCTGTCTTCTTTGCTGTAATCTCAACCTAATTACAGTTCCTTGATCAGACTAGATCAACAGTTCTGAGAGTTTAGTGTATATCAGATTCACCTGGATGATTTGTGGGTTTTTTTTTTTTTAAGTTTATTTATTTATTTTGAGAGAGCATGTGTGCAAGGGACATAAAGGGAAAGACGGAGAATCCCAAGCAGGCTCCACACTGTCAGCGTGAAGGCCAATCCCAGACTTAAACTCACAAACCATGAGATCATGGTCCCAGCTGCAGTCAGATGCTTGACCGACTGATCAACCCAGGTGCCCTTAGAGGATTTGTTAAAGTACGGATTGCTGGGCTCCACTTCCAGAGTTTATGGTTTAATGGAATCTAGTGTAGTATTCATTTCAGGAGTAGAATTTAGTGATACATCCACTTATAAACACCCAGTGCTTATCCCAAACCCAAAATTTCCATTTTTAACAAATTCCTAGGTGATGTTGATGCTCCTGACCTAGGTACCCTGCTTTGAGAACAGCTCTGTTAGAGACTACGTTCTGTTGACTCCATTCCTTTGTACGTATTTTTTTTTCCCTGCAATGCCTTTTCTCTCTTCTTAAACTTTTTTACAGAAACCCTTACATCAACCCCCTCCATTTAGATCTCACTCTTCTTAGAAGTACTTTTACCCACTAAATTGTTAGATGTTCCTTGTCTGTATTTCCTTATACTGCCAAATATGTGTTGCACATCTGTAAGACTGCTTGTCATATTTCTTAAAGCCATTAAAATTTTTAATGTTTATTTTTGAGAGAGAGAGAGAGCGTGCGCACAAGCGGGGGTGGGGGGGCAGAGAGAGAGGGAGATACAGAATCAAGAGTAGGCTCCAGGCTCTGATTTGTTAGTACAGAGCCCCACATGGGGCTCGAACTCCTGAGCTGTGAGATCATGACCTGATCTGAAGTTGGACACTCAACCGACTGAGCCACACAGGCGCCCCTCTTAAAGCCATTAAAAGCTATGTATTTTGTGTTTTTATCTAGTGTATATCTTAATACCTGTATAGAAAGCAGTCAGTTTATACCTGTTAATAAGTGGGCTTTTGCCATTCATATTTTGATTGTTTTGTATAGGAAGAAACAACTATGGGAATTTAACACTATGTCTAGCACAGTGTTAAAATTCTCTGTTGTATATTCAGAAATATGTGATTAAAATACACTTTGGGAAGGTCACCTGAGTTTGGAAAGCTTCCTTTCGTCTTCTTGCTGTTTCATGTCTGGCTGGAACAAAAGGATACAGAAATAAAGATGGTGAAATGAGAAATGAACTGCTTGAAGTGGATTTAACAAGGTTAAAATAACTAGGCCTGTGGTTCTTCCTTGATTCATTGTATCAGAGTTGAATCTAAAAGCAAGATCAGGGCCACCTGGGTGGCTCAGTCGGTTAAGCACTAACTTACTTTCAGTTCAGGTCATGATCTCAGAATTCATGAGATCAAGCTTTTTGTCAGGCTCTGCTTGGGATTCTCCCTCTCCCTCTCTCTCTCTGCCCCTTTCCCATTCTTGCCCATGTGCGCTCTCTTTCTCTCTCTCAAAATGAATGTTTAAGAAAACACCTATTACCAATATAACATTGTTTAAAATGTATAGTTTCTAAAGTAAAAAAAAAAAGAAACGGTATAATACAGAATCTAAAGTTTTGGAGTTTACCTTTTTTGGGGGTAGGGGCACTTAATACATCTTAGACTTGTTTCAGTATACTTCATTTCATTTTTTTTTTAATAGTTGTAGAGTTTATATGGATATGCCTAAGAAACTTATTATGTTGAATATAATTCTGTAAACTATTTTCTGAAATTTTAGATGTGAACCTATAAATTGCAGAGCAGGCTAACTAACCTTATGCTCCGCTTTGAACTTGTACTGCTATTAAAATCAGACTTGTTAATTAAGATTAAACCTACAAACTTGAAGTTGGAACTTCCCATCAGATCTGAATGCTGATCTTCCTGGTCATAGAAGGAGGAAAAAAAAAACACTGAAGCTGGCTTCCCAGTGCTTATAATCTGGTACATAGCTTTTGGGCTAGTTTCAAACAAGGTAAAATAAATAAATAAAAGTAAAATTTTAGGGGCGCCTGGGTGGTGCAGGTAAGTGTTTGACTCTTGATTTTGGCTAGGGTTCTAATCTTGTGGTTCATGGGATCAAGCCCTGTATCGGGGTCTGTGTAGACAGTGCAGGGCCTGCTTGGGATCCTCTGTCCCTCTCTCTCTCCTTCAAAATAAATAAGTAAACATTTTTAAAAAATAAAACTTGAGTAAAGACTGAAAAGCTAAAATATCAATAGCAGATGATCATTTTGTGTCAGAAAATTTTTCACATATTTTCTTAGCTTTGAAGAACAGGATGGAAGGGGACAAAGTTTCATTCAGTGAAACTGCTGGCTCTAACCACCAATTGTTACTAATTCACAGAGATATTTTTGAAGGGGATTAAATGACAGAGTATGGTGAGCCTACAGACACTATTCTCCATGAGCTGCTATAGTTCGTAGAATCTAGTTTACATTTAGAGTCAAATGTGGCTATGCAGAAGGATATTTTAATTAAATACAATCTTTACTAATACATGAAATAGCACTTGCAAAATAAATATGGACCAATCTTAACGACCCTTATTAGGACCCTATCCTTTTTTATTTTGAGTATTTATTTTTGAACCCCTTATTGCTATAAAACAGTAATTTTCAGTTGCGGCTGCACAGCAGGCACTAGTGAAACAAAACTACACAAAACCAGGAACCACACCTCTTAATATCCTGATTTAATAAGATGAAGATAGGTGGGGCACTGATATTTTTTAAATACGCAACTAAGATTGAGAACCATTATTCTAATGTTTGTTATCAGTGTTTCTGTAAGCATAGTAAAAAAAAAATTTCGTACATTTTGCTATTCTTTATATTTTCTAAAATAGTTTTTAAGTTTTTTTTTTTTTTTTTTTTTTATTTCTAGGAGAGAGAGAGAGAGACAACGTGAGCAGGGGAGGGTCAGAGAGAGAGGGAGTCACAGACTGAAACAGGCTTCAGGCTCCGAGCTGGCAGTCAGCACAGAGCCCGACACGGGGCTCGAACCCACGAACCGCGAGATCATGACCTAAGCGAAAGTCGGACGCTTAACCGACTAAGCCACCCAGGCGCCCCTAAAATAGTTTTTAAGTTTTTACTTTATTTTACTTTACTTATTTTTGAGAGAAAATATGAGTGGGTGAGGGGCAGAGAGAGAGAGAGAGAGAGAGAGAGAGAGAGAGAGAATCCAAAGCAGGCTCCACATGGTCAGCACAGAGCCCAGTGCCCAATGCGGGGCTCAAACCTAGAAATCATAAGATCATAGATCATAATCTGAGCTGAAGTTGGTTGCTTAACTGAGCCACTGCCCCTGGGCGCCCCTGCTATTCTTCATATAAACAAGTATTTCAGGGGGCTCCTGGCTGGCTCACTCAGTGGGGCATCTGACTCTTGATCTTGGGGTTTTGAGTTCAAGCCTCATGTTGGGTGTCAAGATTACTTAAAAAAAAAGAAATGTTAAAAAAATAAAAATAAAAAACTTTCTGGCCCCCAGTTCTTGGTACATTTAACTAAAATCTTGTGTAATGCTCATAAATCTGTGTTTTAACAGTCTCCCCACTTGATTGTTTTACGCTAGAAAATCAGTACAATGGTAAAATACTAAAACATTTTACTTAGTGTATATACATATCTCTAAACCTGTGTGATGGCTTTTGTAATGTATCAGTTTAGCTAGAATAAACTACATTTCCCAGAATTCTCTTTCCTGTATGTTTCTGCTTAAAGTGAGCTACAAAAGACATTTTCATGCAAGATCTAAAGGGTAGAAGTGAAGCATCAGATGTTTTGGATTTTACACTCAGGAGGGCAGGGCAAATACTTTCATTATAGCTCATACATGTTGTCACTTACCTGATATCTCACCTTATTGGTGTGTGTAAGTGGCCTGTTCCTTCAATGACTCCACCTTCCTTTAAGTCGGCCCTCAGGTTATCCTAGGCCAAGAGCATGTTTAGCTCCTTGAGTTAAAAATGCCCAACTTCCGGGGCGCCTGAGTGGCTCAGTCGGTTAAGCGTCTGACTTCGGCTCAGGTCATGGTCTCATGGTTTGTGGGTTCAAGCCCCACATCGGGCTCTGTGCTGACAGCTCAGAGCCTGGAGCCTGTTTCAGATTCTGTGCCTCCCTCTCTCTCTGATCCTCCCCTGCTCATGCTGTCTCTATCTCTCTCTCAAAAATAAATAAAATATTAAAAAAAAAAAAAAAAAAAGAATGCCCAGCTTCCAGGCATTTGGGTGGCTCAGGTGGTTGAGTGTCTGACTCCTGGTTTTGGCTCAGGCCGTGATCTCAGGGTTTGTGGGATTGAGCCCCACGTCAGGCTCCTTCCTATCAGCAAATAACAGAATCAGTTGGGATTCTCTCCTTTCTTTTTCTTTCTCAAAGTAAATAAATATATATATTTTTTTAAATGCTCAACTTCTGCAGATTCTCTTACATCAGCAAGCTTGAAAGTAGTGACAACTGATAGCATCCCAGTCTGTCTTTGTTGGTGCTAGCCTGTGCTCATGGCTTCCAATTTTCCATCTTATCTTATAGACTACCTGCCTGTGAACTGCAAGCTCTCGCAACAGACTCAGAGCCTTACTGATTGTTTAATCAGCTCCCACAATTGCATACTCAAATCCGTTATCAATATACATATACATCCTAGTGACCCTGCTTTAATCTTTTTGTAAGTTTATTTGAGAGAGACTCAGTGGTTAATTGGTTTTTAACAAGTGTACTAAAACCATTCAATGGGGAAAGGACCATCTTTTCAACATATGGTGGTGGGAAAACCAGAGATCCACATGTAAAAGAATGAAGTTATATCCTTCCATTACACTGTACATAAAAATTAACTGAAAATGGATCATAGACCTAAACTTGACAGCTGACTATTAACACTCTTAGAAGAAACTTCGGAAAGTCTTCATGACATTCTATTTGGCAACAGTTTTACAGATAAAATAACCAATAGCACAAGCAATAGAAGAAAAAAATAGATAAATTGGGCTTAATCAAAATTAAGAGCTTTTTGAATGCTGACAAAAACTGAGGACTGATGGATGTGGGGGGGAGGAGGGTGATGGGCATGGAGGAGGACACTTGTGGGGATGAGCACTGAGTGTTATGTGGAAACTAATTTGACAATAAACTATTTGTTAAAAAAAAAACAAAATTAAGAGCTTTGTCCATCAATGGACACTATGAAGAATGTAAAAAGATGTACTACAAAATGGGGGGAGAAAACCTTTGAAGTCATATTCTGCTAAGGGACTAATAATGTAGAATGTTATATTATACGTAAAACTCAACAAAAACAAAAAACAGTCCAGTTCAAAAATGGGCATAGGTATTTCTCCAAAGAAGATATACAAATAAACACATGAAAAGATATTCAGCACTGTTAGTCTGGAGGGAAATGCAAATCAAAACTACAATGAGTATCAATTTTTACCCATTAGTGTGACTATTACTAAACACACACACACATACACACACATACACACACAAAATAACATGTTGATGAGGATATGGAGAACTGGAAACCTATATTGCTGGTGGGAATATAGAGTCATACAGCTGCTGCAGAAAATAGTTTGGTGGTTTCTTGAAAGGTTAAGTGTCATATATATGACCTAGCAATTCCACTTCTAGGTATATATCCAAAACAGCTGAAATCAGCAGATATTTGTACATCAATATTCATAGCAGCGTTATTCATTGTAGCCCAAAGATGGAAGGAGACCAAGCATCTGTTGACATATAAATGAATAAACAAAATATGGTATATACATAAAATGAAATATTAAAATTTAGCCTTTGGAAGGAAAAAAATTCGGACACCTGCTTCAGCATAGATGGACCTTGAAAACATTGTGCTTACTGAAGTAAGTCAGACACAAAATATGTCAGACAAATATTGTATGATTCCACTTGTATGAGGTCTCTAAAACAGGCAAATTCATAGAGACAGAAGGTAAAATAGAGGTTACTAGAGGCTAAGGGGTTACTGTTTAATGGGTTCAATTTGTTTTACGGGTGATGAAAAAATTTGGGATATAGATAGTAATGATGGCAGTACAACATTGTAAATGTAGTTGATGCCAGTGAATTGTATGTTTACAGAATGGTGAATACTATGTTATATACATTTTACCACAATAAAAACCAGCCAAACAAAAATGTTAGTATATGATTGGAAAAAAACTTACCAGAAGTTTCTTTGGTGGTGAGGTTTCACTTTTCACTTTTTGTATCATAATTTTCTGTGACTTCTGATTATTTTTTCTTTTTTAAAAAAGTTTTTTAACATTTATTTTTGAGACAGCACGAATTGGGGAGGGGCAGAGAGAGAGGGAGGTACAGAATCTGAAACAGGCTCCAGGCTCTGAGCTGTCAGCATAGAGCCCGATGTGGGGCTTGAACCCACGGACTGCAAGATCATGACCTGAGCCACCCAGGCACCCCCTGGTTATTTTTTCTTAATTTTTTAATGTTTATTTTTGAGAGAGTCAGAGAGAAACTATGTGTGCAAGCGAGGAGAGGCAAAAAGAAAGGGAGACAGAATCCAAAGCAGACTTGATGGTATCAGCTCAAAGTCTGACATGGGGCTTAAACCCACAAACCATGAGATCACGATCTGAACCAATGTCAGATGCTCAACCAAGCCACCTAGGTGCCTCTGATTCTTTTTTCTTTTTTTTTTTTTTTAAGTTTTTAAAATGTTTGTTTAGTTTTGAGAGACAGAGCACTAATTGGGAAGGGGCAGAGAGAGACACACATGCAGAATCTGAAGTAGGCTCCAGGCTCCGAGCTGCTAGCACAGATCCCAACACAGGGCTCGAACCCATGAGCTGTGAGATCATCACATGAGCTGAAAGCAGACACTTAACTGAGCCACCCAGGTGCCCCGATTAGGTGATCTTTCCATAGGACTGGAGTCAGTTAAGCAGTTTCAATGACAGGTAAATAAAACTTTTTAATTTTTTTTA